CTAGAATATAAAATAAGAGCCTCTTATCTTTTCAGTTTGCTAAGATATTACTCATGTAATAAATCAAACACAATGGCACCCTGCCCACCTATTTCCATTTTTGGAAATACTCCCTTATATACACTTACTTCTATATATGACATGAATAACCAATTGGCAGCTCAGAATGGCTCCTAGTGGCTTTCTCAGCCATTTTAACTAGCTTGGTTCCATTTCTTTCTTTTGAACTAATATTTCATATTTTTTTAGACTAAAATACATCTTAGTTACTAAGCTTGGTAAATTATAGTGGATTACTGTGGTATTAATGTAGTAATTTATGATTTTTTAGTTATTCAAATACATATGTAAAACCTAAAACAAAATTATTTTGTTTCATATCCTCACGTTTGTTTCGTATTCGTGTACAAAATTTTTAAAGGCTTAGCATCCTATGTTAAGCAGCAGCTGAGTACAAAGTAATGTAGTAATTTATGATTTTGTAGTTATTCAAATGTATATAGAAAACCTAAAAAAAATTATTTTGTTTCATATCCTCCATGTGTAAATTTTTTAAATGCTTAGCAACCTATGTCAAGTAGCAACTGAGTACCAAGATCGTAACTAGAAGAAATAATTGTTTTCTTTACTTCTTTATTTACTGTTCTATGTTTTAGTAAAAATAAGTTTAAGGTCTTATTTCAAATTAGCAATAATCTATATACATATATAATGTATAATAATTGAAATGTAACTGTATTTTACAAAATACTAGTCTACTAAAGCACAGCCAAGACAAGTTACTTTGTACAAATCAAACGTCAGTTTATGATATTTGATACGTAACAAGAGTGCAAGTGAGCCGCATCATTGTAACTTCTGTATTGTTGGCCAGGCACGGCTAAAAGGTCAATATAATAAATATATATAAATGTATAATATTATGAGATTTAAGCTATTTAGTCTAAACATTTGTGTTTTTGTATTATAATTTGTGTTCATTCTAGAATGAAAGAGGCATAATTTATATTTATTTCTTATTTTTTATGGTGGTTGTGAG